GGTTCGAAACGGTATATTTCATTCCTTTCTAGTTTCCGGGGAAAATCCCCTCCACCATATCTTTAATATTCCTTAGTTACATGTACTATTAAAAAAATAGTTTGTCTATGAGATCAGAATGTCCTAAATGACTGCTATTATAGATTTCTTTTGGTTTTGTTGTCCATCAACAGTTTCTTCTTGGCAAGCACATTCGTCATTTCCTTTTTCTGGACATAAACAACCGGGTTTATCTCCCTTATTTGAATTTCCTGGTGTTACTTGGTTTCCTAGATTGCTGAAGTAGGAAAAAAATGATTAAAATTAAATCATATCTTAAAATCAAGTGAGAATATCTAGAATAAAACTGGATAAACTTTTATTTTTGATGAATAAAAGTGTTCAGTTTATTTTCAATTTAATTATTATACTCTAAACATCAAAATGTTAATATTTTATGGTCTTTGATCTGTCTGTGAGATCAGTGATATATAGGCATAGCTAACATAAATAGAACACAGCCTTTACTTTGTTTTAAGATGACGATTGTTAAATCGACTATCAATAGTCAATCCGTGAAGTTACGGAAAGAGCCTTGATCCAAAAATAAATTTTGTATTAGTATAGTAAAAAAAGTTAAAAAATGGTTTTGTGACTCGCAAGACTCTGGATCCTCTTGACAATATCTACATGTTTTTGCGTCACCTCAAGAAACAGAACCAGAATCTTGCTAACTCCTTCAATGATATATTTAATTTTATAAAATTTCACACTATATATGCACATAAAATATGCAAACTAAACGTCTTGAGCATTTTCAACGAACAGAAAACAACTAATCTCTAATGAAGTATCAATGACAACGTCATATAATGACTCCCACCCAACCCTATCCTCATTTCTTTTTAAATGCGGGAAAACTTCATTTGTCAACTCTGTATAGATATTACAGAAAATCAAAAGATAATCTAAATTGTCTATGGATCATGTCAGACTTCACAATAGCTGGTCCTGCTCACAACCAGAACATATCGATCGAGGAGTCAACTTTTCTGTAAAAATAAGTTAACATCTGGTAACCTGAATATTGTAAAGATTGCTATCTACGGGGAAAGGCCACGAATTTGAAAAATAAATATTTGCAGAATGATTCCTTACCGCTTTGCCTCCATCAATCTATGGCCAATCTCCTCTGTTCCTTTCTCCTTGGGAATTAAATGTTGTGTATTAACCACAGATCTTTCACCGTCTGTCTGTTCCTCTACCTGTTCCTGACGAATTCTAGCAATGGACGGATCAATACCAACTGGTACCTCAGGTATATCTTCTTGTCCGTTTGATACAATAACCTCTATAACATCCTCTATCGATGGCCCTTCTTTTGCGCATGCGCAATTTTGTCCATCTGGACATGTACATTGTCCTACCGTGCGTTTTTGCAGTGATCTGGGATATTCTAGCTTCCTGAAAAATATTGATTGATTATTATTTTTGTTTAACGCCGAGTCGGCAATATTTCAGCCATATTGAAAAATAACTAATAATGCCTGATTGTGCACGTATACTGCAGACAAACTATTACTCGCGTCATCTTTTATTCGCGATTCATCACTTTGAAATCAATCCGCGACGATTAATTATCGCGACTAAGGAAACATTCTCTGCAAATACAAAGCAAAATAAATGGTTCGCTGCGATTAATATTCACGAGTTAAAGTAGGTCCTGAGACTCGCAGATATTTCTCGCACGCGAAAAAAGTTGGTTTACAGTAGTTCGTTGAGAAAATAGGTGGTGCGGCTTCTAACCAAAATGAATTCTAAAGCCCTTGACATCCGGAGATTGAACATTGATACGCTGCTTAAGTGCCGAGTTGGAATTATTTATATGTACTTTTCTGAAAGTGCAAGTCTATGAAATGAAGAGAAAACCGATTTGATTTCAATAAGCCATAGATCCTATCAAAAAAATTGAAGAAATCTTAAATGGTCGCCAAGGACCTATGGTTACGCATTACATATATTTGTTAAGTCTTACACATAACTGTCATGGACAAAAATCCATGCCATATCTGGAAATTTATTTTAAATACAGTGAAACTTGTCTAATCTGGATGCTGTGTATTCCAAAATCTTGCCTAATACAAAGTCCATTTCAGTAAATTCAATTGTTTAAAATATCTAATCTGGCCAATTTCTATGGAACCAATGGTGTCCGGATTAGACAAGTTTTACTGTATACATAAAAAGGTCCGGATTATTCTTTAATGTCTTAGAGATGAATTCCGAAAAAATAGATAGTCCAAAAAATAGTTCAAATCTGTGGAATATTGATAATTCCTGGAAATAGAATGATTTCATTCCCGTTCAAAAATATTAGTTATTTTTGAGACAGATTTATCCGTCTTTATGATAGTATTTGACTTTTTTTCTTCAAAAATTATCAATGAGAACAATTTAAGTAGAATCTATCTTAAGAATTGTCATAAAAATATTTGTGCATACAACTACTTTACTAATTTTTTTTTTTTTTTTTTTTACATAAAACGAAAGATTTTCGAAGAAAAAAAGATTATTATTTTGGAATGATTTGTTAGAAGCTACAAATAAGATACCACCACCCTTTCTCTTAAAAAAATAAGAAATAAACAAAATCTTACCATTTGATTTCCTTTTGATGACCATTGATGCTATCTGGAGTTTGTTGCTTATAGAGAAACATTTCAAGATTCGAGTTAGACTTCTCTTTGTTTGAAGGTCTAGCTTCTGATGAAATGAGACAAAATGAGAGGGTCAATAATATTAAACGTGCTCGCCTATCCTCCATGTTTCGTGCGTGGTTGGCAGCACTGAAGCACACAATGCAAGCGGTTATATAGTGTTTTCACACAATGAAGGTGACTTATTGCCGAAAATACAACAATTCTCAAATGAGACTCAGGTGTTGTAGATTTTTGATTAGACAAAAACAGCTTTCCCTATGAAGTCATTTAGTACTTCTGTTGGCTTTCTGTAAAACTTTTATTCTGTGTGCTGACGTTCCTTTCTATGACCACAAATGGATTTCTTTGTTCAAACGAGAATCTTTGCTTCTTCATATGGTCCAAACAAGGTCAGGGAGGACATTTTTTTTTCAAAAATATTTTCAATCTGCAACAGTAAAAACATCACAGTCTTAATCTTGCAATGCACAGGCATTTTTTTCCAGTTTCTAAGATAAGACTACAAAAACGTTTAAGAACCTAGTTCATAATAAGTGATGATGAAGTCGGGGTATTTTTTGACATGGTTCTTAATACGAGGGTTGTTCAAAAAGTAATGTCACAGCTACTATGAAATCTTTAATAATCAAAAGTATTCAACAAAATTTTGTATACTAATACCTTTGCCTATTTTAATTCTGTCCTAAAATTTCATTCGGATATAAGCTCTACTTTATAAAAATATTAAAATAAACACATTGTTGGGTCTCGTCTATCGCCCCACGGCAAGAACGTACCGTTGTCGTTATTTTGAATTAATTTGAATTTGATGATACATAAGATTTCCACAAAAAGGAATGAATTAGGAAATACTACAACTCAAAACAACACGGTTTATAGCAAAATGACAGTCAAAATTATTTTAAAAAGACGCACATGGGAGGTTGAAAAGATAAGCGGATGAACTGAAAATGGGTACCAAAAAGTAACGTCATAGCGATTTCAGTAATCCATTTTCTCTACATTGGACCAAATATAGATCGAAATCTTCCAGATCAATATATGTTTGTAATGTTTATGATATTAAGTTTTGTCATCTTATGAAATCCTACGTCTTCAACGGTGTTTGGCAAAGACTTTATCAAACAAGAAAGATGACAGGGTTTGCTCAAAGGAGTATGTTTTATTCAATCATTGAATCTTTAAAAAAATTTGTTTTGTTGTTTTATTTTCAAAACGACGATTTAGCAATCATAGAAATCAACTACATGTAATTCTCTGGACACCTTTACCATAATATTGACCCAGAAACAGCATAATTGTATCTGCACTATCACCATTTTCTTTCTTATAGTAAACAAACAGTTATGTAATAAAAGAAAACACTAATTATGTGGCACTATTATTACTAAAATTTTATATTATGTTGTGTTTATTATATATTATGTACTAATCATAATTTGTTTCCTATAATAGACGGCCAAAACGTCATTAAAAGTCAGAGTAAATTTGAATCAAATGTTTGGTTTTCTCTCCTTCATGATATATTTTCTCTGCTTTTATAACAATGCACTTAAAAATGACTGTTTTCTAGATAACGGATACTGATGAGTAATATTTACAACAATAAGTTGTAATTGTGTCGCCCACGTGGAGCAGTGGCTAGAGCGTTTGCTCTAGAGTCGCAGAGTAAGGAACTGATCCTTACCTCGCGGGTTCAAATCCCACTGAAGGACGTGGAGACTGGTCCTTCGGATGAGACTGTATAGTATAAACCGAGGTCCCGTGTTGCAGTAGACGCTGGCAAAACTGATCCCTCAATGCTCAAAGAGGCAAGTACAGGTCTAAATTTGCAGCCCCCAGCCGGCAAGTGAAAAATAGTGAAAAATTCTCGGAGAGACTCTGAAACAAACAAACAAATGACGAAAAGACACTTCTTGGGATGATATTAAATTATCTAAATATCAACAAGGCAGGTAGACGACAAATACAGAGAGGTTACTTGAGCTAAAGCTTTGTTTAAATGAGGATAAAATGTGAACATTTTTATCAACATTGCATTTTTGCAAATTTCAATTTGTTAAAACGTATAGGAAAAGACCAAATGGAAATCAAATATTAGCACTTTTAAGCTAGAAAAAATAAAGTCTGTATCAAATAAAATGTATTTTAATTTTTTTTTTTATTAAACCTGTGATTGATTTATATAATTTAAAGCATCAATCTACTTTAAATACTTTATTCAGGTAGTTCAGGTGCAAAAAATCAGGAAAGACAATGCTTAGACTAAATGAGATAATATTCTTTAGCCTTATTTTAAAGATGATAAAAGTTTGGACAGCAAGTAAGTCTGAAATTATTCATAAGAATTTTTTTTAGATAAAACAACTGATTTGAACAAATATATCGAGAGATTAATTCAAAGATCACTGAAACGAGTTTATGTCTTTTTTTAGGTGAAATTTCTTTAAGGCAGGTAAGAACGAGACTTGACCTCATTGAACCCTCATTAGCAATTTGGTCTGGATTTAATTACCCGTTCATTTGGTGTGGTCTGGAATGTCTCAAGGAACATAACTGCGTGTCCTTACTGTACAATTCTACAGAGATGTCTTGTAAGCTTTTTCGAGTCATATACAATGAGGATAAAGACGGAGATGACACTGTAAAATATTACATACTGGATAGAGGAAGAACCCGCTGGGGTAAGTAGCGGAGAACCTCAACTTAGGAGTTTTGAAAATTGCTACAAAATGTTTATGTTACATCTTACTGAGCAACAGTACAATAAACTTGACCTTTTGGCACTTAAATTTTAACTTTTAGGTTTATCACTTTAATCTTTTAACATATTTTGAAAGATGTAATCATGGCAACAATTATCATCTAATTTTATGTAAAATGGCTTGGATAATATTAATTTTTCAAGAAAATCTGCAAATTAATTCGTGTAAATTATTGGGTGACCTTTTTGCACTCTATGAATATCATATTTTGGGTTGTAAAAATCTAAGTAGGCGGTAAAATATTTTCTTGTATCAAGTTTTTATTACTCTAGTAATGATTGATTGGAAGTATCGTGTAGTTTAAAATAATGAGAGAAAATGTTATGCCTAGTGATGTGAATTTTGAGACATTGGTTTAAATATGCGATTTTCAGGGAAAAAGCAAGGAAAATCTTATCGTGACCTCTTCAATATATCTTCATTTTTTGGCAAAGTTTGTCAAGTGAATGTGTAAAAGTTGTTCTAAAATATCGATTGAAACCTATATTTAATATTCCTAGCATATAATCGCGGGAAAAAATTCTCTGAGTAAAAATGTGTTGGGCTAAAGTTCAAAGATATTAAAGTTTTAAAAAGTGTGCATTTAAAGAATTTTCTTCCAAATATCCTTCCACGACAAAAGATAGTCCCCCATAAATCTTGTTTCCTTATGATTTTGTGAACAGTTTTTGAATTGAATAATTATAAATATTTAAATTTAGAGACTCAACATCTGAAGTCTCAATGATAAAGCCTTAAAAAAAAATCTGAATACTACTGTACGCCATGTTTGAATTATTTCCTTTGACCTTTTGACCGATATATATATATATATATATATATATATATATATATATATATATATATATATATATATATATATATATATATATATATATATATATATATATATAGTCATTTTTTTTTCTTGGTTACAAATAATATTCTCAAAAAAGAATGTTTATCTTAAACATAACATGACTATCATAAGCATTATTCTCTAGTGTATTTGTGGGTTTTTTTTAAATAATGTTGATGCAAAATTTTTATAGCATAATCTACATAGGTTATTATTCAAACTTTTTGTAACATAAAATTTTCTGTAGCAATTTTCAAAACTCCCAAGTCTATGGACTAAGATTTTTAAAAATCTCTTTTCATGAAGGCATTGTTTGTATTGTCATTTTACAATTCAAATAATACTCATATTTCTTTTTAGCAATGTTTGAAAGTTGAACCAGTTAAATTTCAGGAAAATTTAAATCTATATATATCATTTGATACCCTAAAACGATATAAAATAACAATTTAAAATCTTCTCAGAGTGAATTGAAAAAATGTGTCTCAATCAATAACAACTAGTAAAACAAACACAAGAATGTTCATCCACTCTTTCAATATTTAGATTTTAAAAATGGATCAAATTTATATAGATATTAAAAACAGTCTAAAAAGATACCTTTGCTTGAACAAAAGGGTTTCTCATAGCTTTTCTACAACGTTTATTTTTCACAGGAGGGAACTAGAATTCATGCATTTAAAGCACATTCAATCATTAACTGGGAGACATTTTAAAAAAAAATTATTTCCTTTGATGTATGAAGAGGGTCTCTTTTTGAAATTGATCTTAATTTTTAATCTGGAAATAATAAATAAGAAAATATAATATAATTTTGGGGGGCTAGTTAATGTTTTGCAGATTCATTGTAAATAATGAAAGTTATGAGGAAATGAACATAATTCAACAGTAAATGGATCGAGTTTTGTGATCTCAAATCACAGCACCTGGTCAGACCTGAGAAATAGCATTAGTAGATTAGTTTATTAATGATATAATTGTACCGTGTTAATATTCAATGGTACAGCATCATTAAACCAAGTCATATAAGGATAAATGTGCAATTCACACATCGAAATTGATACAATTTTATCTTTGAGGATTTTATGTCATTAGTGTATACCCTTAATCAGTTTTAGATTCTTATTCAAAGTCGAAAAAAGACCAAACATTTCTTTAAAGCTTAGAATAGATTTTTTTTTATTTCTGGAAACCCATAATGACAAACGAAGAGATTATCAACACGGTTTTGATTCTATGTATAGCTGCAACAAAAAATATATTAACTGATATTTATCAGTTTAGTGTGGAATGGTCCCTTTAACAGTCATTCTTATATATCAAAATATTCCCATCGATCCTAAAGATAAATATCTAATGATATTCTTTTAGTTATTTGAATCCTTGGAAATTTGGAAAATGAATTTTGTATCCCTTTTTTTTTTACACATAATTTAAAATCCTGTATAAAACACAGGTAACAGAGAAATGCTTGGACAATAAATAGTCTTTTCCAGCTTTCAATTTTTGTTTGATTTTTATTTCCCTGCTGCAGTACCAGAGTCTTGTAAAGATGTCGCCACTTGCTCAGGAACAACGACAGATGGCGAGTACTGGATATATCCTCAAGCAACGAACAGAAAAAGAGTGAAGATATTTTGTAACAACATGTCATCTGATCCATTAGAATATATTACTTTAAGAAACACAAATTCCTTCAATGAACACGATAAATCGAACTGGCCAATCATGTGGCAGCAATGTCAGTCTAGTTATATACCACCTTTGAAGAGGGCAGATTTCCAGAAAGTTGGAATACAAATTCAAGTACATATGATACATAATGTTTTACTGCCGCCACTGATAATATATCAGAATTATATTACATATTCATCATTTACATGTAATTCATTGAATATATTTATAGATTATTTTAAAATTTCAGAATAGTATAAGAAATATATAACAGTGGTTATTTTCATCGAAATCAAAAATCCAACTACTCAAAACAAACAATAAATAACCGTCTGAGCTATTAAAGTATACAACCTGGGCAAAATAACATACGTCAAATCACAAGATAACTTTAATGGATTGCATATTTAACAGAAGGAATGAACGTGTACATTTTTTTACACAGACAATGGAAGTTAATGGATTGGACTTCACTTTTGCATTGTTGACTGGCACGCCTACGATATCGTATGGAGAAATAAGAGACTGCAATGGTGAATCCTTTCGGAGCCCCTGTCCACACTTTGCAAGAGCAACCATCAATACTAAAGGAACCGGACTGGTTATTGATCCCTCTGTACGATCTTGATGAAATACAGCATATCAAAGATATACTAATAAGAAATTCCTAATTTCAATCTTAATTTCTGAAAAAAATCATGTGCTTCAAAAAATATTTCATAAATGCAAAAAGCAAATATCTCAGTCAGCGTTTACTTTGATTATAGATTTTAGAAGGCTTTCCCAACTACTTATCCTTTGAATAATGAAAGCAAAAACAATCCATTAACAAATAGAAACTATGCCATCTCTACATTAATTTTCTTGTGTCCTGTCTCGTTTATGTTAAAAAAATCGCCTTTACTGTAAACATCAAACCATTAATCATACAATATCTTTTTTTAGAAAGGAGTGAACCATAAGCAGCATTTATCTATGCAAAAGGGACTGTTTTTCTATTAAAGAAACCAATTTTATGCTTCTAATCTGATTTGCAAAGTTTAATGACATTTTAGACCATGCTTGCTATAAAAAGTTATCATATTAAAGTTTAGAATTTTGAGTATTCTTCTATCACCCGTCCATTCTCCCATTCATGTTTGTTTTTACTAGCAATCAGACCTCTCTCTGTATTAACAGGGATCGATTTTTTTTAAAAATCGTTGAGTATTACAATGGTTATAATATTATAAAAGACAAATCACAAAACTAGAAGAAAACTTCATTTGATCAACTTCGGGTCAAAGATGAAGCATCTTGTGCTCAAAATTTAGAACAAAACATATCTAAATTTGCGAGCCACAGATTTTGCTTATTGCGAAAGAGTCTCATTTTAATTTCCTAATCAATTTAAAAAAAAAATGGAGCTGCATATTTAAGGAATCACTGTCTAGTTAGTAGAGTATGCCAGGGCATCAACGATAGTTGGAAACGTGTGATAATTTGCATAACGTGAAATAAAATTGTAAATTTAGATTTTAAAAATGTAGACTAACAGACTTAAATTACACGAGGCCTCACATCTCAATTTCAATAGTCCGCGCCCATTGACGTCAAACACAAAGACAGCCGCATGAGAATTACATGCATATTAGGCCTCCTTAGAGTCAGACACAAAGACAGCCGCACGAGAATTACATGCATATTAGGTCTTCTTAGCTCCTGATCTTTCGCTTGGCGAAATTTGCATTCCGGTAGAATGATCAAGAAATCAACTCTCCTAACTTTCAAAGAGTTATCACAGAGAAAACAAATAGAAATGGAAATATTCGAGGCTTTTTTTTCAATATTGACTCTGGTTAACTGTGGAAATTTCTTCACTTGATATTCATGTAAACATCAAATTCATGCTAATCAATTCCCGTTTCTTCAGCTGACTTGGGGAGTAATCAAGGGCCATTACCCAGAAATAAGAAATTTTCAAAAATCGACAGATGATTCTGAGATATCCTTCACCTGTGCAGGATGGTGTGCAAGATGTGGACCAGCATCGGGACCCATTATATTTCAAGTGTCAAACGAATTCAGTAGATCGTTTTTTTTTAATCTACTCTTAAAGACAAATCATAATAAACACTTTATATATGAGCTTCAATCTGGATGATTATTCACAAGATCAAGTTGTTAAAGTAAAATACTGGAGAATTTATGTGGCTACTTGTCTGTTGATATGAGTTTTTTTTAGTTAAACAAAGCAATAGATGTTTATGTTTAATTTTAATCTCATTTATTTCAGTATCAGCTGCGGATGCACAAGCCTTGATCTGCCATAATTAAGCTACCATTCTATCTCTGAAGACACAGTAGGTGTGAAAATACAGGAGACAATAGTTAGAATGGTGAATCAAAAAATAAAAACTTCAATACTCTCTGTATATCACGTTATTCACACAATATATGCAAATATTTTTAGCTCTTTCTTGTTAAACTTATACCTATGTTTTTTAGAGGTAAAATTAAATTCGAAATGAACATTTTTCTTAGTTATATTGTTATTTTTTAATAATTCTCTGTTGTCAACGTTTCAACGGTAATACTTCTTTTAAATGTTTTTGCAATCAAAACCTGCACCATTCAATCAGTATTCAAGCGTAATTTAAATGTGCGTACAATTTCTATTTTCTCTTTGGCTGGACTTACCTCATTCCCTAAATATTTCCAATGATACATGTATTATTGTTGATAAAATAAATCAATGAATTAAAAATTGTTCTAATCTTTTTACAGAATGAAAACAATTTTTTGAATGTCACAAAATATGAATTTCTTGCTTCGATTGATAATTATCAACCCAAATATTATAATGGTCAGGCACATCTCGCAGAGATCCTATTGTCTGTTAGGTAACACAGTGTAGAATATTTTATACATGTACTGAATTCTTTTAGTGAGTTTCAGAATATAAATGATATGCTGAAATATTCTGAGAGTTTTGTTATCCCTTATAATTTTGATATAATTCAAAGAAATACACAGAAAAAAAATAAACAAGAAATTCTTCAGTCTACCCTCCGTGAATAATATTATGATTACTCTAAGCACAGAATTCCTTCTTTCTAAAAACACTAATTTTCCTAGGAATTAGCTATTCTTTTCTATTTTGTTTTTGTTTTGCGTTGATGTACATGTAATTTTATTTCTCATATATGCACAAAATGTGGTGGACAATTATTTTTTGAAAGTTTATAGTGGCACAAAACAAAGCTATTGTGTCATCGAAAGAAAGTAACATTGTATTCTAAATTGAAATATTATTTACAGTTCAATGAATCAAGATTGATTGATTGTATATTGTTTTACGTCCCATTCGAGAATTTTTCACTCATATAGAGACGTCACCATATACCGGTGAAGGGCTTCAAATTTTGACCTTTACTCGGCACTCAGGGCCATTGAGCAGTGAGGGATCTTTATCGTGCCAACGCCTGCCGTGACACGGGGCCTCGGTTTTTAAGGTCTCATCCGAAAGACCCGCAACTTTCACTTCAAAGTGCCGAGCGCATGGCGAAGGAACAGTTGCTACCTATTTTTTATCGACTTAGGTCTGTCGCGGCCGAGATTCGAACTCACGACCTCCCGATCACGAAGCGAGCGCTCTACCGACTGAGCTACCGTGAACGGTCTTGAATCAAGAGGATTGAAAATATAAATTAATTGCAAGTATTCATCAGGTGTTTTAGTATGGCATTTATCAACAATTAAATAGCATTAATATTTCATAACTTTAAAGAAAAAGAGAAAATATATTTTATTTCCCTAATTGAATCTCCATCCACTGAAAAAGATTCATTGTGACCTTCATTAACCTTAGAGAAACAGATCTCATAAATACTGAAATTTGTACAATAGTTGAGTTGAAGGTGTCGCCAATACCAACGATCAATGCAAGGGTAAAATTAAAAGTAAAGCAAGTTAGGTAGAAAAGAAAAACACATACCTGTCCTGTTATTTAATTTTTCCTGGTATTACTTATACTAATTGTGAGCAGAGCAAACATGTACTTCTGAAACAGAGGTGGGCACAGGTGCCATGGAGGAGTAAGCATTCCCTGTCGACCAGTCACACTGCTTCTCGACATGATTGGATTAACGGAGAAATCCATCAACAATTCCGTATGAAAATTGGCCTAACAATTTATATGAAACACGTCAGTCAACATTCGACCTGACAAAAGACTGTATTTGCAATTTTCATTGTATCGATCATGGAATTTGCTGAATGTTGCCTTTAAACGAGATTGTTGACTTCTTGTATCATCTACATTTTTATCAGTAGCCTGCCTCGTTTTAGAAATTGTTCGTACGCACAATATTCTAATGCGTATCGAATCAGCTAGGAGATATAAATCACATTTGCTGGTGATAATGGAATATTGCTACATAAATTAGGGAAGTTGGCGATAGAAAATTTGAAACAATCACTTTTATCATAAAGTTTAGCTGTAAGTTTGCCTTGTAATATATAAATCCATAAAGGTTCATTACCATTAACTCGATATATAATCCTTCATAATAGAATCTATACAACATAATCCTTAATATTAGATTCTATACAACAATATAGCAAAATGAATCTTTTAGAATAAGAAACATGCATTTACACCTCTATAATTTTTTTTTTTTAAATAAAACTTTTTTTTTTTCTTTTAGCTGTACTAAATTGTCATTATTTTAAAATGGCAACATTCTGTTCATGCAATCTGAGTATGGGTTTCAGTCTCAAAGACTGATCTAATTTCACCATATGACTTACTCAACACCTTAAAAAGTGATTCTCCATTTCACTTTCCTGTAGCAGCGTTGCTTAAGTTGTGGCCTGCAACAGGGAATAATTTAAAAAAAAAATGCAAAGCTATGAAAATAAAAAAAAATACATAGAAATAGTTGAGGATAACCTCCTTATGTTATTCAGAATATTTATAGCAAGAATTAATAATAAAAAATATTCAGCCTCAACTTTAGATGTACATTGTATTTGTCCCCCGCTTTCGCGAAAGCTCAAGGAAATTTAATCTCATTCGTCTGTCTCTCCGTCCGTCTGTCTATCTGTCTGTCTGTCACAAAACCTTTAATCTTAGTCATAACTTTTGAATGAGAGAATATGACCCTGACGTCAAAATATGACTCTTTCCAATTTCAACATTTGTAATACAGGTCCGTAGGAAGCAATTTCACTTTGAGGGGGCACCACCATATATTTTCAGTTTGGAGGGGGGGGGCACTATCAACCACCAAAATTCCCTTAACAAGCAAAAAAAAATTTAAAAAAAGAAGGTCATTAGATTAATATTGAGGACACACAAGCATAAAGTAGTTATGTTTATTATAGTATGCTATATGTCAGCAAAATTATTTGGGGAAGGCACGGCCCCCCGTGTCCCCCTCCCCCCCCCGTTCCTAAGGTTATGTAATACATGTAACTTTTGAATGCGAGAGGATATGGCTTTCATATTTCTTGTGTGCAATAACTGTGAAAAGACCTCTCTGGATATACTTTACTGTTTTTGACCTTGATCTATTAAAGTTTTATCTACTTTTCAGATATTTTAACCTTGATTGTAGCGTTTGTACCTTAAAAGACACGGCTTTAAAATTTTAACATGTGCTCTTTCCAATTATACAATAATTTTTTTACTTCATTACCTTGGAGTTTGACCTGTATTAAAAAATTGCAACAACAACATTAATTGATATTAATAAAACAATATAAAAATTATATCATTTCGTACTGAAAAATTTCATAGGAAAATTGCATAAACGAGATAATGATATATATTACACTATTAATCTATAAATTTCCATGTACTAAATGTTTCATTCACAGGGAACCGTCCTTTCTGCACAGTATCAAAGATAAATATTTAGAGGGAATGTTATCAAATATTTGCATTTTAAGGTAAAGAAAGTGAAGTGAATATCAAATACAATGCCTTTCCATTTAAATTTTAAAACCAGTCAAAACCCATTAGCTATAATAGTGATAATCCAAATATTTTTATCCAGGGAATTTAAACATGCATGAAAAAATAGATCGTTAAATCTTTTGAAAAAAAAAAGATCCTCTTTACCCCGTTCAAAATCTCTTGACCATCATTTTTTTTCTTTTAGCTCTACTTAAATGTGTACACAAGCAAATAAATAATAAACCTAACGGAATATATATATATATATATATATATATATATATATATATATATATATATATATATATATATATATATATATATATATATATATATATATATATATATATATATATATATATATATTGGAATTGAATTTCCTTTACCTGTAAAAACAATACTTACATAATATCTTTAATTTTAAAGTGACAATTCAGTTTCACTTCCCTGTACCAACGTCTCTAAGGATTGGCGTTAAAACTTGTTTTCATCAAAGAATAATGCTTAGTAAATATATTAATCAATGAAAATTATAAAAAATAGAGAAACATCGAGAAATGGTTGAGGATATTTTATTTAATAAAGAATGCATGTAGCAAATATCATTATTGAATATAGATTAGAAGCTCGATGAGGGGTTATATTTGTGAATAAAATCACCACAGTCATCATAAATTCACATAATGAATTATTTCTGGAACATAATACTAATAATAATTAAGAAAAATAAAGAATTTTCTACTGATAAGTTTCATAACAAAAAGTTACATAAGCAATATAATGTTTTCGCTTATACGGCAAATGTATACATCTACTTGTAATTATATTGTTCCATTTACTGGGAACTGTCCTTTCTGCACCGCATTAAAGACAATATTTGCGCTTTGAAGATAAAACAAAAATGAAAAGAATAACAAATATATTTGCCTTTACATTATTACTCTTGAGAGCCCATTATTGACTTGCTCTCTAAAGTATCGATACATGTATAATGTAAAAATTTCGATCCAGGCAATGTATAGAAAAAAAAAAGAAAGGAAGACCAGATTTGTTCATATTTATGCTTTCTAAAGTATCGATATAATCCGAACATTTTTATCAAGGTAGTTTATATGAAAAAAATTTAAGGCAGGAAAGGCGATGCATAAGCTAGATTTGTTAGTAGTGTTTTACGTTATTCTTGGGATAATAATAGTCTTGAAAGCAAGTGAGTATAGATATATTCATAGAACTACTTTTCCACAACCCAAAAATTTATTGGAACGTACATCAAGAGATTATTTAATAAGTATTTTTAAGATTAATGCCTCAGTATAAGGAATTAGTTATTTACAAATTCATATCTTTGATTTTTAGGTGAA